AGGAAACCCAGAAAAATTGGGGGGGGGGAAACAAGGTTTCTTTTTCCAGTTTTTTTCTGGTTTTTTTATGATAGCCAATCGTTTTTCAAAAAAACCAAAAAACTGCATTTTTCCCCGATGTTTCCCCTCTCTATTTGAGATCGTTACTTGTGGACTTCAACTCCCATAATTCCCTAGCGGGGCTGGCTGGCGAAATTCTGGGAATTGAAGTCCCCCAGGTGTTAAAAGTGTCCAAAGTTGGACATCTCTGATCTTTTTTAAAAGTTTTTTATTTTTATTCTCTCGTATATAGTTACAGGAATACAATCACATAGTTAGCTTATTTATCTTTATCAGTTTTACATGTTTGTTTTTCCATATCAAAGGTTAAAATACACATTCTGGGTTGCGTTGTTTACCATCCGCTGCACCTATTTTGTCTTGTCCTCACCCTATTTTTTTCTTTTCACCCTCCCTCCCTCCTTTCTCTACTTCCTTCCTTCCTCCTCTCCTTTCCTCTTTCCTTCTTCCCTTGCCTCTCCCCTACTCCTCTCTTCCTCTTCTCCTTCCTACCTTCTCTCCTTCTCTTTCTATTCCTTCCTTCCTCTTCTCCTTTCCTTTCTTCCTTCTCTCCCCATTCCTCTCCCCTACTCCTCTCTTCCCTCTCTCCTCTTTCTATCCATTCCCTCCTTTCCTCTTTCCTTCTTCCTTTGCCTCTCCCCTACTCTCTTCCCCCTCCTACCTTCTTTCTCTTTCTATTCCTTCCTTCCTTCTCTCCTTTCCTCTTTCTTCCTTCTCTCCCCTTTCCTCTCCCTACTCCTCTCTTCCCCCTACCCTCTCTCCTCTTTCTACCCATTCCCTCCTTCTTTCCTCTTTCATTCTTCCTTTGCCTCTCCCCTACTCTCTTCCTCTTCCCCCTCCTACCTTCTTTCTCTTTCTGTCCTTTCCTTCCTCCTCTCCTCTTTCTTCCTTCTCTCCCCTTCCCTCTCCCCCACTCCTCTCTTCCTCTTCCTCCTCCTACCCTCTCTCCTCCTCTTTCTATCCCTTCCTCTCCTTTCTTCCTTCTCTCCCCTTACCTCTCTCCTCCTCTCTTCCTTTCCTTTTCTGTTATTGTGGTTATCTCTTTTCAACTCTGAACTGGTGTATTTTCGGTATTCCTGCAATTCTTTCCTATTCCCTTTTCTTCGTTATCATGTCCTATTTTTTTCCCTCTATACCTCATTCTTGAACATATACTTATATATATTAATACTTTCTTTTCTATTTTTCCTCCTCTTGCCCCCCCCCCCTTTCCATTTAATAAACATCTCTGATCAAAGGAGAAGGCAAGAGGATTCACCCGTCTGGACTTCAACTCCCAGAATGCTGGCTGAGGAATTCTGGGAGTTGAAGTCCGCAAGTTGCAAAATGGCCACTGTTGGTGTCCCCTGCAGTAAAGGATGGGGGACCAGGAGGAGAATTTGGGATGGCGGGAGAGGAGGGAAGGCGCTATATAGAATCGTGGGGGCTTTGAGTTGGGGGAATTGGAACAGCCCCCCGCCCCCAATCCACCCTATGCTGCAACATTTGCACTGGAGCTAAAATGCACCAGGTTTTACAGTTGTGGAGACGCTTTGTATAAAATCACATTATTTGAGTCATAGAATAGAATAGCATGGAATGGAATGGATTGGAACGGAAGAGAACAAGGAATGGAATAGAATAGGGAATAGCATAGCATAGAATAGGAAATAGAATAGGATAGAATTAGAATAGGATAGAATTAGAATAAAGTATAGAATAGNTTCCTTCCTTCCACCCACCCACCCAACCACCCATTCATCCTTTTTTCCTTTCTCATTTTCCTCATCTTTTCCCCCTTCCTTCCTTCCTTCCTTCCACCCACCCACCCATCCTTTTTTCTCTTTCTCATTTTCCTCATCTTTCCCCTTTTCCTTCTTTCCATCCTTCTTTTCCCATTTTCCTCATCTTTTCCCCTTTGCTTCCTTCCTTCTACCCACCCACCCATTCATCCCTTTTCCCTTTCTCATTTTCCTCATCTTTTCCCCCTTCCTTCCTTCCTTCCTTCCTTCCTTCCTTCCTTCCTTCCTTCCTTCCTTCCTTTTCCTCATCTTTCCCCTTACGTGAAGGTTCAATTAAGTTGGATGTTTTTGCTAAAGGCCCCATGCGCAGGAATCTTCTGGTCAGCACCTGCTTGGGGACTCTGCAGAATTTAAAGGGGGCTGGACTTAGCTCACTTGTGGCTATGTGGGGATGCTGGGCTGATTGCTCTTTTAACGTCCCGTCCCCCCCCAGGTTTTGCTACTCCTCCTTTTTACAGCCGGTCCCTGGGTTGCTACGGACCTTCGTGTCTCTCTCAGTGTCTAAGAGGAGCAACAAATATTGTGGCAATTAATCTGTGCTACGCAATCTGTTGCCAGAGGGCCAAGTGGGGAGTGGAGAGGGGGGGGGGAATAAAATGATGCTAAGGCCTGTTTAAAAGCAAGGACCTCTGAGCTGAGATTCCTACAAAAGGAGCTTGCAACTCTGGAGGGCGGATGGAAAGAGGTTGGCTTGGCCGGGAGCAAAAAAAATGCAAGATATCCTTAATGCAGGCTGGGCACCAGGAACCGCAGCATTGGCAGAGCTCAGCTAGGCTGGTTTGCAGCGCCAACATGATGTAATATCTGGGGAAGATCACGCATGGGGTGGGGTGGGGGGGGGAGAGCTGCTTGTTTTCCAAGCCCTCAATGCAGCCCTTTCATCCGATCTGCTTCATCATTCCTGCCCTGAGCTGCAGAGGCCCAGGAAGGGCAGGGCGGAGGCTGGGCAGTCCTAACTTGTGGGCAAGAGCCACGCCAGGGAGATGGTTAGATGCCTAGCCCTCCACCCCACTCCCTGGCGATCAGGAGAAGCACCCCCCGCCTTCAATTGCCACCTCCTGAAAACAGAGCCAGGCCTTAAACTCAAGTTTAAACGCCTGGGCTTCCTCCTTCCCAGCTTTCGGTGTGTTGGATGGTTTCAAGAACTCTAAAACTAAGTTAATATCATGGTTCTCTTAGGCGCTGTGCGGGCTGCCAGCCACCTTACCCGATGCAGTCCTTACACTGCGCTGATGGTATTCCCTGGTTGGGTGGTGAGAGGCATGCAAGAAAACCTCCAAGCTCGGAGCGCACGAAGGATCCCACAATCCTCTTCCTTTCCATAATCCCCCCCCTTCCCTTCTAGCACTGATGATGTCCCCTAGTTGGGCCGTGAAACGTCTGTAAGAGAAAAACTAAACTCAGAGTGCACCAAGGAGCCCATCGTCCGTTTCCTTCTTCTTCCCACCTCCTCCCTTTTGCAAACGTCACACTCCCTTCTAGCACTGATGATGTCCCCTA